CGAAACGAGGTTATACTGTTGACATGATACAGCCTTGTCACTTGCTCGCCTTAACAGCTAAAGGAGAAGGGGTCTGGCACCACACCAAACTCACCCCGCCTGACACGCCCCACCGTCCGCAGCGAACTACACCATATCGATTCAGCCTAAAATTATGAGCCATTTCTAGGGGGACAAAAGGATTTGGAAAAGGTTTTTAGCGGCATGTTACTCCAACGGAGAAGTTTAGACTGATCCATCTCATGCATTCTTTGAACACTTCTTTCCCACAAGAAAAAAGTAGAGTCATCTTCAGATGAAAATCCGGTGGTTCCAGCACATTAGAGAGGGTCCCCATACTGAAATATAGCAACTAACCAGCAGCAGGCTTTCCCATGCCATCCATCGGATGGGCAAAACAAACTGTCCTTCGACTCGATAGTAGTCATTTGAGTAGAGACTTCGTGCCATGCCAAAATCAGCAATTTTAACATTTCCCTCTTCATCCACCAGGCAATTTCGTGCCGCAATGTCTCTGAAAGCAGTAAATAATTCCGTGTTTGTTCACTCATCAGTAATTCCCCTCTCAGAGTACATACCTATGCACGAAATTGCAGGATTCCAAATAGGCTAATCCGGCTGCCAACTGCGTTGCCACGGAAATGCAGTAGTGGCTGCTGAAAAAGCGAATTCAAAGCGGACATTAATGTAAAACGACATTTCTGGTAAGATCTATTGTGGGTAGGCTACCATTATTCTTTTTTTTCGGCTTGCAAGTGAATGCATCACAGTGCACGTCTTGCCGCTCAAGAAAAATTTCGTAAAATACGACTCCTCGGGAGAAAAGAAGTTTCCTCTCCTCGTAAGGCCCCCTGGGAAGAAGAAGTGCCCTCCTCTGGCACGAACCCCTGGAAAAAAGAAGTTTCCTCATCTGGTACGGCCCCTTGGGAAGAAGAAGTTCCCTCCTCTGGCACGAACCCTTGGAAAAAAGAAGTTTCCTCATCTGGTACGGCCCCTTGGGAAGAAGAAGTTCCCTCCTCTGGCACGAACCCTTGGAAAAAAGAAGTTTCCTCA